CTACCTGGAAGGGCCAGTACCTACACTCTACTAGTTTTGTGCCAATCCAGTGGAAACAAAACTTGGTACTAACTCTCTTCCAGCGAGCTGAGAAAATTTGAATGTTCACTTAAGCGTAAATTTGACCTTGCTTTTATCGATTTTGTGGATATTCAAATTGTGTTATAACCCACTTGTTATTCATTGATGCAAAGACGTGCCGCAGCTGACGAGCCGTCACGAAATTTATTTGATCGAATAAATTCTGCCATATTTGCTTGCTTCAAATCGCCTAGATCATCGGATCAAAGTGAATACCGACAGGCAGCGAGGCCTCACCAATTCGACGAAGCCATATTTAGCCGGTATAGATAAACCGGCCGTGTGGTGGTACGCTAGCCGACGATAGCTCATTGACATCTACTGTGATACTCAACTATCGAAGCCGAGCAGGCCCGCAAGCGGTGATGACTAATTCAGGTCGTTTTCCCGCCGAAAGGGTGATCCATACAAGCTACACAGAACATCTCAGCAGCCCGTGTGATGGAGCACTGCTTGCCCACTCGCGAGAGAAAAGACTGTAAAACCTGCATCCACTAATATTGCCAAGTAAGTTATTTGCCTGCCAACCGTGACTCGTTAAACAGACAGCCGACTATACACAACGCAAACATCCTCAGCCTTAAATAACGTTAGCCGGAAGGACTTCGCTAATTTCGGCAACCTGGAAAGTTCGTTCTTTTAGATGGCCAAATAACCAGCGAGGGAGACAGTTCTGGTTACAAATAAGGTGATTTGCTGCAATGTGGACGTCACCACACTCAATTAGATGCGCTTCTCGAAGTACTGACAACTGGATGAGATTGGTAAAGGTTGCATTTTTGTTCGGAAAGCCCATCACAAGGAATAATGCTGCACTAGAATTGCCTCAGCTATCAGAAACTAGCTTAAAAGTCAGCCACCCTGTATAACTAACGAAGCCAACAACCGTCTAATCCTAAGGCGGCACTTTCACCGCGAGTAGAAATCCGCCAATCATAGAATGACAAACAATGACGAGGTGAAGGAAGAGTTCTACGAAGAAGAATGAAGACGACTCGATCGCTGGGACAATACTTTTATTCGCCTGACATTTTGAGATCCGTCGCGGATTCATCATCAGAGACATAACCAGAGAGCAGTAGCAGAAGGTGCGTATTCGTGCATCCTTGTGCTGAAGGTTGATCTCCACGTCTGAGGCGGCGCATACTACGTCGTCTGGAAAGGATCACTTGCTAATCGTGGAGAAGACCACGGCAACGCGGGTGAACTGCTTTTTCAGATGAGCTGGACCAGTCACAACCTTCTTGTCACCAACCCTATTACCTGTCCACCTTAAAATTTCAAAAATAGGGCTATTTTCGGGCGTTAGCCGGCGCGTGCTATGCCGAATTGTTAAAACTGGGTAGCGGGCCTCGTCACCGTTGAACCACTTACTGGCCCAAATTTAAATCTCAGGTATTTGCGAACTGTGCAGAATGTACCGTTGGCTGACAACGCCAGGCGATCGCTATTCCGGCTTCACTTACCTCCACTTAAAACAACTCTCTAGGAATATTTTCGGAACTCCAAACTAACTATCCAAATAAAAAGTGTGTGTGGCTGTTGAGTACTATTGTTTATGGATAATAACTGGTTAGCAGCTTAATTGCACGTATAAGGGCACATATAAGTAATTACTTATGCCACACGAGCTAAAACCATGGGATGTAGGTGCCTAGCAGTAACACATGCAGACAGCAATGATTTCTTAGGAGTTTAAGACCTAAGAATACTGGAAATATTCTATATTAGTAAATACTATTAAATCTACAAAAGCTGGAACACTTAACCTTAGGACTAAATCTATCACACACTATCTTAATTTGTGCAAAAAGCGACCGATTCCCAATAAACTATTCCCCTTGCGTCTTATTTATTAGCATGTACACCTTACGCGTAGGCCGCGATTCCAAAAAACAGCAGGGCTGTTGGAAATTGCTTGGATCAATTGTCACCTTTTTTTCAAAAAAGAGTTAGGTTTAAGCGGCAGCAAAACTCCTGCAGAGCCTTGACTTAAAAGGTATATTACAAGCCCACTTCCCTACCACCGCTCTCCCTCTCTTTCAATAAATACCAACTTTTGAACATGGCTTGGCAAAGAAATATTATAGACGGCGCCAATTCCGAAAACGGGATCAGGGCAGAGAGAAGGTCAAGATTGGAAAATACACGCAAAAAGGCATGATGGCTAGCACGTACATCCATCTGTTTCTGCAGAGCCTGCAGTTTTTCCTCCAGGGCGTTGGCGCGGGCAACCGCCTCTCGCACCCTGGCGTCGCTTTCAATCTCAGCACTGCCAGTAG